TTTCACACCTGAGCCTCAACTCTCACGGCCCGGTACCAAACGACTCACGGACCGGTACCGGTCCGAGGCCCGGGGGTTGGGGACCGCTGCTCTAGTGAATAAAGTTAACAAAGTAAATGAAACGACTGTAAAATAATGAAAAAGGACTGATAAAATTGGCGAATCACTCAGTAACCTTCATCCACTGGAGAGACTGGTGAGACTCCTTACACTGCCAAGGCATCTGTGATGTTGGCTTGGTGTGAGGCCAGGATTGTACCCAAGTTGTGTATTTTGATTTGGTAAATGGACTGGTGCTTTTCTACTCTACCTGAGCACTCAAAGCCCTCAATACAATTTGCCTCAGTCACCAACTCACACAAGCACTCTGCTTCTCTAAGCCACGTTGAACTATCTAACATTCACATAAGTATCGTATTTGGCATGTCGACTGAAGCAGCCAGGGAACCACCAACCATCCGATTAACAGATGGCCTGCTCTACTTCCTGAGCAACAGCCACCCCATTTGTTGAAAGCATAGTTGGTGTACACACACACACACATACACACACACAAACCTACACACACTGACCTGTCCAAAAACTTCTTCATTGACAGTGAAGGAGAGGTCCAGCATGTCGTCTATGTCGTTGTCCTTCATCCACTGAAGAGACTGGTGAAACTCTTCATCCAAATACTCCAGATCACTCAGGTCACAGGGACTACAGGTTGGGAAAGGCGGATAATGTGTGTCTGCTGTCTTAGACCACATACAGATTAACTTATCCTCACACTGGCTCTTGTTCACAGTTAAAATCTGTTTAAAAATGCACATATATATATATATTTCAGCCCTGTTGCCTTCAGAACTGCCGTAACTCTTAATGCCAAACATTCAACAAGATGCTCGAAACATTCCTCACAGATTGTGACAGGAGTGGCACCTGGTGTGGTGCATCTGCGCCAAGCTCCTCTGCCTGCTTGAAGTGGTCTGGCCATTGTCCTTTGACCTCTGGCATCAACACGTGTTCAGAGAACTGCCACTCACAGGATATTATATATTTGTCATACTATTCTCTGTAAATCCTAGAGATCCCAGCTTTTGAAACAGCAGACCAGCCTGTGTGACATTAAAAACAATGACACTTCAAAGTAACTTAAATCACCTCTCTTGTCCATTCTGATGGTTGTTGTGACCATGGCTGTATCCCAATTCAGGGTCTGCAGCCTTAAAGGCCGCATTTTAAGGCCGATTACGTCACCGCGACGCCACGAAGGCTGTCCCAATTCGAAGGCTGCTCGAAATGCGGCCCTCAAATGCGTCCTTCATTTCCCTGAATTTTAAGGACGTGGCGGTGTAGACTTCGTGGCCCAACATATCTCAGAATGCATAGCGCGGTGGTGGGTGTGGATAATATTGCCGAAAAAAACAGCGGATGAGGGGCGCCCGAACAGTAAACTTTAAGTAAGTACTGAATATTATGTCACTTATTTATGTGCAAATGTTTAATAACGAAGAACATTAAAACATTCCTGTTGGCCACATGTCGGCAAAGTCATGTGACATTAGTGACGTTTGTACTAACTTGGTTTTAAAGCCTTTACTTTAAAATATACGCCGTTCAATAGCTGAGCTTAATCAGAGAATGATCAAAGCTCATGTAGAAACAAACAAACAAATGAACAAAAGATTTTCTCCTTCATTTCTGTCAAACAAAGCTGTATGAAACGTTTCCAGCTGTTAGTATCATGGTTGCTAGGCAACCTGGGCAGCGCAACGGAGGCTAGACCGTCCCATTTCACAAGCCTCGCACTTCCGGCCTTAGCGGTCTTTAAGTACGCGGCCCTTGAGGATCGTTAAGGCTGCAGACCCTGAATTGGGATACAGCCCATGTCTACAAGCGTTAAGTTGCTGTCATATTATTGGCTCAATAGGTGCCAGAAGACTGCTGTGGCTGGTGTAGTTTGGGGTTCAGCTGCAGGGGGAGGGTGGTGGAGCAGCAGGCTCCAGGGACAGCGTCAGCGCAGAAACAGCTGATTCTGATTGGACTGATTGTTTTTTCCTCTCCTTATTTTAGTATCAGCTGAAGCCTGGATGAAGCCTCGGTCCAAGGCTGAAGAAATGCCAAGAGGGCTGGAGATGGGCTGGGTTAGCGTAGAACAGACTTCTATAGCAGCTATAGTTGTAGCTGCAGTATGTTGGCCCACAAAATATTAAACCCTGGATTAAGGATGTGATATCACAGCGAAAATGTAGGATATATGTGTTAACGAGCAGCTGCTTAGGCGTACCTAACAAAATGGCAGGTGGGCGTATACATACAGACATTTCATGTGCGTTTGAGTGTGTCAACATACATCCGGAGTAGGCCTTTATAGAAGGGTCTGGTGAAGAAGGCATCCAGCAGGTACTGATGGATCAGAGCCATCCCCAAAATACGACCACTGAATCTGAACCTGAGGCACACACAAACACAAAAGTTTAATATTGTGTGTGTGTGTGTGTGTGGGGGCGGGTTTCAAAGTGACTTTTACCACTCATGGTGATTGTCAACGAAGGCAGACATGGGGCTGATCTGAACGGTGTACGTGTCGTTGGCAGAGTACTCAAACAGACCATAATAAGGGTTAAACAGTTCTCTGGAAACCAGGAAGAAAAACTCTCTCGAGGGCCCGCTGTAGTCCAACCTGAAACACACATTCAGACTTTAGATTTCCTTCTTTGCTTTTCTCCCCTTCCTCTCCCCTCACAGATACTCACCCCTCCTCCCCGACAAAGCTAACATAGAGCTTGCTCCGCTGTAGGTCTTTCCGGGAGTAACACATAATTTGGTTGAAGGCATCTTCCAGGAGTTGGTCACGACGAATGATCAGTCTACGACAGACAGACGAGAGTGAAGACAGACAACTCCCAGCAGACAAAGAGTGCTGTATTTATCAGAACATCAGGCACATTAAGCGAAACAAAACAGATAAGTCAAACTTTGCTCAGTTTTTTTGCTTGCTTCATTTTGCTTCATTTTCGTACCATTGACTTATTAATGTCAAATTCTCTGGCAGCTGCTCTATTCCCCTGTTGTTGCAGTATATTATTGGTCCGTTTACAGCATCCTGCCATGTGATTGCATTTGTCCCTAACCATCGGGAACCCTCACGTTAACTTTCATCAAGTGGAAAAAAAGTTAGTGTTCATCCTGCAGCTTCACTGTGTTTATGTTATAATAATAATAATAATAATGATAATGATAATGATACATTTTATTTGAGGGCGCCTTTCTAAAACCCGAGGTCACCTTACAAGAGAAAAAGACATCAAATAAAATAGTAGATTAAAATAGATTCTAATAAATTAAAACACAGAAACCAGCAAAATACAACCACAAACAACAAATTAAAAACAAACAAAAAACAAAAAACATGATTTGACAGCAAGTAAAATCTGTATTAAAGCGAGTAAGCCAGTTCAAACAAGTAGGTTTTGAGTTGTGATTTAAATAAGGGAAGGGGATCCATATTTCTTAAGGCTGAAGGAAGTGAGTTCCAGAGCCGAGGAGCAGGGCGACTGAACGCTCTGAGCCCCATAGTGGTGAGGCGAGCAGAAGAACAACAAGATGAGTGTCAGATGAAGATCTGAGAGAGCGGGAAACTGTGGTGATATGAAGCAGATCACAGAGATAACAAGGTTATGAATACACTTAAACGAGATTTTTATCCTGGCTTCTATGGGCAACCAGTGAAGCTGTTGAAGAATTGGGGTGATCTGGTCTCTTAAGGGAGTACGAGTTATGACCCGGGCAGCAGAATTCAATTACTTTTTTTCAGTCAGGTCAAGGCTCCAACAGCCCAAAGGAGATATAAGGGTGGCGGCTCACAGCAGTTTTTGTTTGCTGGATCATTTTAGTTCAGCTTTCCTTTGGTTATATTTCTTTAAGAGTTCAAAATGTGTTAATTACATAAATAAAATGTATTTTTCTCTGTAGCACTTCATGGATTTCATAAGCAACACACCTTAGTTGTTCAGTTGTTCGAGTTTTCTTTTGCGTGGAAACCGGCTCCAAATGGCTCTCTGGGTGCTAAAGGTTGCTGACTCCTGTCTTAGCACATCATTATATACCAGCTAGTCAAACTTCAGTAACCCTACAAACATCACTGCTGTTTAGTTTTCTGTCTTCATTTATGTTGGAAGTGATAGCAGAGCTGTACGTTTGAATTGTTCAGAAATCTCTCAGTCAGAACATGCTATATCATGTTTAGGTAGAAGCTAGCGAGCTAACTTCCTGCTAACTGGTAACTCCGTTAATTGTAATAAATACTTGTAATTGTTACACCTGGTAAAGCAGCAACACTGATCATTTTATTAAAGATGAAAGAATTTAGACAGAATTTGGACCTGAAGCAGACGGCGTTTTGGACCCAGATTACTCCGCGAGGCTACGGTAGCCATAATGCTCCAACAATCCATCCAGTGGTGGTTAGCTTAGCAAAGTCCTGCTAAAACATTTTCTAACAGATTTCTGAGTGCCGTGTACTGCAATAAATCGGTTTCGAGGTCAGTAAGCACAACCAGAACTCATACATAAGCGCACCGGATGTGTAAGTGTGCCTTACAGTGCTGAAAATACGGTAAATAAAAAATGATGAGAAAGGATGCCTTCTACAGTCAAAGCTGCTGACTTACTTTAGCTTCCCTGGTCCTTGTCCATAGCCCTTAGTTTCCAGTTTCCTGTAGAAGTTTCGCAGTTTTGCCTCAAAGTCTCTCTTGTAGGGTGCTGGTGCTCTGGCATTAGCTCTCTGAGTACCTGCGCACACACACATGTTTACTTTGATGGGTTATGTCAACAAGCTGACAGATAAAGCAGAAATTTCATTTATATGTGCAGAATTCTACCAAGCAAGAATATGAATATGCAAGCAATGTGAGGTGCACTTAACGAAAATATCAGCAAAGTACTCTGCAGGGCTCCAACACAGTAAAAGTAGGTTCCATATGAATTTGTGAGAGAGGGTTTGGGGATAATATTTTTTGCATGTTTGCTGCTGATCTTTTACCAGGTGAATTCTGTGGGGAAGAGACAGGTGACCCCCGAGGTGACTGGCAGTAGCTGGGGTGAAGTAAGGCATGAGGAGGCACATAGGACATCACTTCTTCTTCAAACAGACTGCACATGGAAGGTTGGAGATGAAGGGACATAAAGAAGAAACCAATTCACTAAATGCAATTACTTCAGCAGAGCAGCGAGAAGATGAAAAAAAAGGTAATAACAAGAAGAGGAAACACAACTAGTCCGATTATAAAAAGGAAAGCCAAGAAAAAAACAAAATAAGAATGAAATAAGACAGAGGAGGTAAAGCAGAAATATGTCACCTTAGCAACATGACAAGGTCGGCAGCTCCTGACAGCCTGGCCAATCCTGACACTCCATCTGTGCGGATCAGCTGCACTTTCTCCCTGTCGTCACAGCAACATTACAATGGCAATGCTGTTCATTAATGTATCCTATGCATGTATTTCACTTTGGCAACTTGAGGGGCAACTGGAGCAGATCCCAGTCTGCTCCAGTCTCTGTACGAACCACATGTTCTCCGATGCAACCACTGGAGTATGAATGTGTGTGTTAGACAGAGAGCACTCAGTCCTGCATGAGGCTGTGTAAAGCTCTTTGAGTGCTCAGAGAGAGTAGATTAAGCGCTGTATAAGAATCAGTCCATATTATTTGTGTTGTGACTGCTTCTTGCAGACAAAAGCAGTTTCTGCAACAAAATCTTTCTACTGGAAAGTCTTGGTTTGCAGTTGCAGTATGGTCTCCAGAAAATTGCACTTTTTATTTTTGTGTTTGCAACGACAGATTTATCACAGTCAGGACATTTTGCATCTTTTCACATCTCCA